CCTAAATAATTGCCCATCCCTGGTCTATAAGGTAGAAAACAAAGCTGTCTCCTTCCTGACATGGCTAACTACCTCTCTCTTTTGAATTCATATCACTCTTTCTATTAACAGACTGCTCTGTGCTTGTCCTTTCACAACATCTGATGAAAGGAGCTCAGGCTCATAGAAGCTTATACATCTCTAATTTAGTTAGTCTATAAGGTGCATCTCTACCCTGCCTTCTATTCATGCTGCAGTCACACATGCTCATGGCAGAGGATAGGCAGTCTCAGAGAATGCAAGGATAGGTGGTTACCAACCCTAGTAGGGTCAAGGCAGAGGCAGTTTATAGATCTTCCACCCCTTTCCAAGGGCAGACACAATCTAATTATATTAATATTACTAAATTAGCAACGAGAGGTAGGGAAAAAGGTAGCTTTTATCTGTCTGTTTTTCATATTGTTCCAAGATCTCCCACCTACAAATACCAATGTTTGTACATGTGGCAATAGGAAGATCACTTGAAAGAAAAATACCTCACCATCAGAATCATGTCCCAGTGTTTGGAATTGTTGTATTAGTCTCATAGCCCTCCCAGAAGTCTGGTCCTTTATAGATAGTCGAAATAGTATAACTCTCCCTAATGACCAGCTTGATTCTTTTGTTTTCTTGTATTCAGAAAATAATTAAGTGGCTTTAATTTATTCACAGGCACCACTCAGAGAAAATAAGATTTTAGTAATACAATTTTCACAGTAAAGGATTTTTCTAGGAGTAAATTAGTCAGGAGAGGAAATCTGTGTAATTCTCTGAATGTAGTAGAAACAGAATGAAACGGAATGAGCATACTTTAAAATGCATATAGTGGTGATAGACATCAAGTCAAGTGAATTCCCTAATTTGTATCTAGCTCTATAGTATGGTTGTAAAGTCTGATCCAAAGCCCATTGAAGTCAATGGAAGCCTTTTCATCAGGTTTATAGCACTGAAATGCAACATTCACAGCACAAGGCAGCTGCAGCACACCTTATTATGCTTTCACATATCATAGAGGAGATACCAGATTACAGTAGTTACGGGAGCACTGCAATGAGGCAAATATTAAGGGGAAAGTCCTGCCCCCACTGAAGTCAAAAGGAGTTCCACCACTGATTTTAATGATGTTGCTGATAATATCTACTACATGCAAAATTTTATGAAAATCAAAATGTTTGCTACATATTCTCTGCAATTAGCCCCACATTGTTTCTTATGCATGATTTGAGAATAGCTAGGTCTGCACAGAAAGAATAAGGTTCTTTTTAAAAATTAACGCAGCAGGGTTTTTTTTTCCACATGGCTATCTATATAATTCATATAACTCTAACTCTGGGAGCTGTAAAGACAATAACCAGGATTTCCAATTAAGTTCAGCCCAGTATAGAAACAAAAGTTGTAATTCTAATTTCCCTAGAGTTATCACAGTGACTCTCACGACACCATGAATGGGTAGTTTATCAGCAGAATTTCAGTTATTGCATACTATGACATAATTCTGGTGATCTAGTGTGCAGTTCTGAGTATCAAAAGTATCAAACTAAAGACAAAGAGACTAGAAACATAGAAACCAAAGGGACAGCTGATGATCCAAGGTACGTACATGTGGAAGGCAGAGGCATAGCTGTGCAATTTTGCACTCCTCCGTAAGCTGGTGCCCTGCTCACTCCTTCTCCACTCCCCCACCCCCCTAGCTATGTGGCTGGCTGAAGGGCATGATAGATCAGGACCTTTGCACTTACTGGGATTGTACACAACATACATTTTTTTGTTTTATATAACATAATGCTCCTATATTTTTTTTAAAATTATTAACTTGTATGATTACTTCTCTGCTGACTGTTAGTGGATGCTGGAACCCAGCAGCCTGGCTTCTCACAAGAGGGGAAATCAGTCTGGATTTTTCCTTGTATCACTCATATTTACACCATATACACTTGTTTTGGAAGAGAAGTGGTCAAACCATAGTCAGGCAAAATCATCTTTCAAGAGCCCCAAACAAAGCATTTGCAGCAATGCTGGCTCAAGAACTGGCTCCAACTACTGAGCTGAAAGCAGAGAACAAGCGACTTTGATGTTTGCCACAGCTTTTTCAAAAAGAAAATATATTGCCAAACTAATACTGCACCATTTCTTCCAACAGTTCACACTGCTTGCATATGAAGAAGAAGTCCTTCTAGAAATCTGCCATAACAATATATTTTAGATAAAGCATCTAACCAAGATGAAAATAATGTCGGTCAGTTATTAGATTAACATCCTAAAAGGTTTTCGTATGCCATCAGTGGTTCTGTCCTGCATGGTTTCAAAGAACACAGACAGATATATAAAACCATTTCTGCAAGTTTTGATTTAAAAAAGTATACCAAAATAGCAGAAATAAAACCAAATCTAGCAGTTCATTCTAGTCATCTCTTAACTAGTCTGTTATTGAAGCTTTTGTGATTTATGAAATCAGTAGCACCCTTGATAGACTATCCAGTATGAAAAATGCCTGGCAGACCCTGTTCTATTGAAAACTGCACAGAGCACAACACAGAATAGCTAGAACCAGCTGGAGTGTTGGTTCCCACCCCACTCCTTCCCCCAAAACTGTTGGCGGTTCATCAAGTAATCAAACCCAGAAACATTTCATCCCAAAATATTTCAGTTTGGAAATGCTGCCATGCTGCCTCATGTCAATCACATTTTCATCTTGTCATGTTCCCACTCTCCTCCGTAGTCCAAGCCTCTGGTCAGACTATGTATTCCATAATGCAATCTCCTCTCTCATTGAGGGGACAGTTCTCCTCCTGGGCTTCTCATGACTGTATTGTATGGTAAAAAATAGATGTGGTTGTGGAGCCTAATTCAACAAAAATAATGGGGATGTGACTCCTGAGAGGTGCCATAGTGACATACCCTATTAAAATATTTCATATATCAGTGTTTACCCCCTAAAAATTCCAAATACTGACCAAAGAAAATATTTTGCCCCCGAAGACACTTATTATGAAAAGAACTGTACAGTTGAAAACTGGATCTTCCATTGACAAAAAGTTTAGACAATGCTTTTTCTTAGCAGTGTTACAAAATGACACGTCAAATCTTTGGATTCTACACAAATCTATAATAAAGGCTACTGGGTGAAATTCTAGCCCCACTTAAATCAATAACAGTTTTACCAATTAACAGTAGTGAAGTCAGAATTTAATTCTTTGTGCAAGGACACTCCAATGGATTACTGATTCTTAAAAGGACCCAAACATCATAATTGCCTTCATTTTTAAAGTTGCAATTGTTGTGAATATTGAAGAAGAACAAGTGGGGAACTTACGGTTCTGGTGTGTAGAGAGGGTCTGAGCCATGTCGTATATACTGAGTACAGTGAAAAACTCTGTAGGCTAATCCTGCTAAAAAATCTCGGGGAGACAGGTATCCGGCAACTGGTCTCACTGTAAACCCAGACCTTTCTGTAGTGGAGAAGATAATGAAAAGGCCACATTGTATTTCACTATGTCAGTCCTTTAGGGCATGTACGTCTTTATAGTTGTTGATTCTACCAAAAACAAGTACTAAAAAGATGGACTGAGGATCACTGTATGCTATTTGTGTCCACTGAGCATAGATAATTATTTTGCCCTGCTAAGATACTCTTAATAAAAGCAGCTTGAAATAATTCGCAGTTCAATTAAAAATCTACTAGAAAAGTAGTCAAGGTTACAGTGTGTGAAAACATCACGAAGTATCTGTTTTTATCTACAATACCAAACAAGGACAAGATAAAAGAGTCCAACACAGAAGCTGAGTTCTATGTAAGATGATGCACATCACCTTTACTGGACCTAAAATAAATGTGGGATTATTTTCACATATAAAAAAGCTATCCTGCGAATTTTTTAACATACATGCGGTAGGATTAAAATACAGAGGTTTGTTTATGCATTTAACAAAGCATCCCCTTGTCAGATCAGTCCCAGTGGGGAGTCATTTCAAATGCGCAGTAACTTTGAAAAGGACAGTTCTTTACTACATTTTCTCTTTCCTTATTAGTTGCCGTTTCCAAGGTGTTTATAGAAAAATGTTCCACGTTTAGCTTCCATTCTTTGGTCTGAAGATATATTTATGAAGCCATCCAGACTTTTTTGTTGTTATTGTCCTTTTGAAACTTCTAGTTAGAAAAGAATCCCAATACCTTCGCATCATTCCTCAGAGACCAAGACTACAATATATGAGCAACTTAGAAAGGTATGACCAATTCAGGATGATAAACTAATGATTGCTGAATGCAGGTGATCATAAACAAGAAAACCTAAAGGTAAGCGTGTGTTCTCTTATAGGTTGGTGGACC